ACTATATGAACCACTAATGTATTTATACATGTTGATTATATCCCCCCCTAATCTCCTCTTCTCAAGAGAGAATAAATTCAGTTCCTCTACTCTTTCCTCATAGCTGAGCTCCTCTATGCCTCTTATCAGTTTGGTTGCTCTTCTTTGTACTTTCTCCAGTTCCCCAATGTTCTTTTTGTGAATTGATGCCCAAAATTGAGCTGCATATTCCAGATGAGGTCTTACTAATGATTTGTACCAGGGTAAAATGATATCTCTCTCTCTGGAGTCTATACCTCTTTTAATACAAGAAGATTTTGCTCACTTTAGAAACTGCAGCTTGGCATTGCATGCCATTATTAAGCTTGTGATCTACCAGAACTCCCAGATCCTTCTCCACCATTGATTCCCCCAGTTTACTCCCCCTAGTATGTATGATGCATGCATATTCTTAGCCCCCAAATGCATAACCTTACATTTATCAACATTGAACCTCATTTGCCACATAGTTGCCCAATTAAACAGTGCATTGAGGTCGGCTTGTAAGTTGGAGACATCATGTAAGGACGTTATTCCACTGCACAGCTTGGTGTCATCTGCACAGACTGAAATGGGATTTTTAATCCCAGACCCTATATCGTTTATAAATATAATAAAATGTAAGGGTCCCAACACTGAACCTTGGGGTACACCACTGACAACCATAGACCATTCAGAGTATGATCTTTTAGCCAGTTTTCTATCCATTTACATACAGATTTTTCCAAGCCTGTGGACTTTACCTTACACATTAGCCGTGTTTGGGGAACTGTGTCAAATGCTTTTGCAAAATCCAAGTTTACCACGTCCACCACCACCCCTCTGTCCAAGGTTTTGCTCCCCTCCTCATAAAAAGAAATCAGATTTGTTTGACAAATTCTGTCTTTCATGAATCCATGCTGTCTGTTGCTTAAAATATTTTTTTTTCCAGCAAGAACTCATCTATGTGGTCTTTTATTAAACTCTCCAGTATCTTCCCAACTATAGAAGTTCAACTAACAGGTCTACAATTGCTTGGTAAAGCTTTTGACTCTGTTTTAAATATTGGCACCACATTGGCCTTACGCCAATCCAGTAGTACTATGCCAGTCAATAATGAGTCCTTAAAAATGAGAAACAATGGCTTTGAAATTACAGAGCTCAATTCTTTAAGGATCCGTGGGTGTATGCCATCCGGTCCAGGTGCTTTATTCAACTTTATTCTGTGTAAATATTTTTGGATCATATCAATTGTGAGCCAATGTCGATCATCTGGAGCTGTGTCAATACCATGCCCATTATAGACAAGAGCTCCCAATGCGCCTTTGTATACACAGAGCTGAAGAAGGTGTTTAATAAATTTGCCTTCTTTTTGTCCCCAGTCACCCACTCTAGATTATTTTGTAAAGGGCCTACTAATAATTGTACTGTTTAGAATATGTTGTTACAAATGGATTTTTTTTAGTTCTGAATTTCCTTTTGTTTTTATTATCCAATGATTTGTTTATTAAACTCGCTCGATCCTTAATCATGGCTGCAATCCTCGCTCTAGCTAACAGATGCTCACTATATCCCCGTTCTTTCAATCTCTCAGAAACAACACCACACTCCCAATAAAATTCTGTTTGTGTGGTGCAGTTCCTCCTGTCTGTAACAAATTCTCCCATTGGTAATGCTTTTATAGTATGTTCCAGATGGCAGATTGATGCAAGTAAAAGTGAATTACCAGCACAAGATTTTATAAATGTTTTAATAGTTCTCTCACCACTTGTCCTGTAAAAGAAAGATCCAAATAATCAATCCGCTCCTGATGATAACTAAATGTAAATTGAAGATTCATATGATTGCTGTTCAAATACATAATGAACAAATCAATTGCTGAGACCAGACCAATCCACACTAAGATAAGGTCATCGATAAATCAACAATACCACCATATATAGGTTTTAAACGGCTTGTCATTGATAAAAAGAAATACCTCCTCCCACCAGCCCATATATAAATTTGATAAAAAATGGAGAGAACTTAGCTCCCATCGAGGCACCCTGGAATTGTAAATAGTATGTCATATTAAACATAAAATAATTATGTTTTAAACGTAAATTCAACTGCTAAGCATAGAAATTCCCATAATTCTAAACTATAGGTGCTGTAGGATGTAAGATGATGTTTTACAGCTTTCAGGGCTAATTGGTGAGGTATACTTGAATAAAGTGAATTAACATCAATAGTTATCCAAATATAGTCCAACAACCATTTGATCTCATGTGTATGGGCCAGGAGATGACCAGTATCTCTTAGATAACCAGGTAAGTGGACAACTAAGGGTTGTAAAAATGTATCTACCCAATCACTCAATTTCTTAAGTAGAGACCCAATTCCTGCTACTATCGGGTGCCCTTGAATTGGAGTATTGTTCTTATGAACCTTAGGGAGATGGTGGAAGATAGTGTTATTACTAAGATTGGTGAGTTTCCTCCTTCTCAGTAAAAAGCCAGTGGTGGCAGTTTAAAGGGTTAATTACTAATTAACTTAAACCAGTGACAATCACTTTCAGGCTGCTGGCACCTAGATTGTGGTCCAGCGAGCTAGAAAATCTTTGTTAAGGGTGCAGCTGAGGGTGGCATTGTTACACAAGTGACAGCACCATGTAAGTTTGGCTGGTCCTTTGTCACAAAAGTGGTATATTTTATGTACCATAAAATGTATTTTATATATGTCTAATTGCACCCCTTTGACAGGCTGAAAGATAAAAAAAAAGTATGTGGTTGGAACCAGGGTGAAAAACTCCAGGTGGTCACAGATAGTATTGTAAAAAAGAGAGAAGCTGAAACCTTACATATGTTAATGAATACATTTACATTTAAACCAAACCAAGTTTTTGGAGAACAGAACAGCATTCTATTGTGTAAGGTATAAGCTCCTTGCCAAGGGCAAAATAACCCCACAGGAGTCTTACAAAGACCATTAATTAAAAATGGACCCTGTATGCAAAAAAAGATTTGAAAACCTGCAATGGGTATGAACATCAGAAACCTTCTGCTACCCGCAATTACCTCCCAGTATTGTTGTCTATTTCTCATTATTGAATCCTAAGGGCCCTTTCACACGGACAATACAATCGGATCTGCCTGTCAGTTTTTCAATTGGACCTGATCAGAAGGTCCATTCATCTCTTTGGACAGATAGATGTAAAACGGACTTGTGTCCATTTGGACCCACCTACCTCTGGGTCCAATCGGGCCTGCTAAAAATATTGGACTGTGTCCTCTTCCTTTTTGGTTAACCAGACTGGAGGCAGCCTCCAGCTTTTTTTAGCAGGCTCGATTGACCGCTCACAGAGCCACAGCAGGCTATGCCCGTGTCCGCACTGCATAAACTGAGCGGACACTGACCTATCATCCTCCCGCTCTGCTCCGATCAGCTCTGATCAGGTCCAACTGAAAAACTGTATTGCCTGTGTGAAAGGGCCCTTAGGGTTCAATAATGAGAAATAGACATGTTGGCATTCATGGTTCCCTTAATGAACTGTAGCTCCCCAGTGCCGGCAGCACTCATGCAGCCCCAAACCATGACACTCCCACCCACCATGCTTGACTGTAGGCAAGACACACTTGCCTTTGTATTCCTCACCTGGTTGCCGCCACATACGCTTGACAACATCTGAACCAAATAAGTTTCTCTTGGTCTCATCAGACCACAGGACATGATTCCAGTAATCCATGTCCTTAGTCTGCTTGTCTTCAGCAAACTGTTTGTGGGCTTTCTTGTGCATCATCTTGAGAAGAGGCTTCCTTCTGGGACGACAAGCATGCAGACCAATTTGATGCAGTGTGAGGCGTATGGTCTGAGCACTGACAGGCTGACTCCCCACCCCTTCAACCTCTGCAGCAATGCTGGCAGCACTCATACGTCTATTTCCCAAAGACAACCTCTGGATATGACGCTGAGCTCGTGTACTCAACCTCTTTGGTCAATCATGGCGAGGCCTGTTCTGAGTGGAACCTGTTCTGTTAAACCGCTTTATGGTCTTGGCCACTGTGCTGCAGCTCAGTTTCAGGGTCTTGGAAATCCTCTTATAGCTTATGCCATGTTTATGTAGTGCAACAATTCTTTTTTTCAGATCCCCAGAGAGTTCTTTGCCATGAGGTGCCATGTTGAACTTCCAGTGACCAGTATGAGAGAATGAGAGCGATAACACCAAATTTTACACACCTGCTCCCCATTCAGACCTTATAACACTATTGAGTCACATGACACCGGGGAGGGAAAATGGCTACTTGGGCCCAATTTAGGCATTTTCACTTAGGGGTGTACTCACTTTTGTTGCCAGCTGTTAATGGCTGTGCGTTGAGGTATTTGGAGGGGACAGCAAATTTACACTGTTATACAAGCTGTACACTCACTACTTTACATTGCAGCAAAGTGTCATTTATTTAGTGTTGTCACATGAAAAGATGCAACAAAATATTTACAAAAATGTGAGGGGTGTACTCAATTCTGTGAGATACTGTATATGCACAGTGCCCAGCATAAATGAGTACACCCCTTTTTGAAAAGTAAGATTTTAATCAAAATCTCAATGAACACAAGGACAATTTCTAAAATGTTTACTAAACTGAGTTTTATAGAGCATTTGTTTAGCTCATTACATGAAAGTAAGGTTAATAATATAACTTAGATCACAAAATCTTCAGTTTTGCTCAAATTAGTTGATTCAAAAATTAATACACCCCACAACAAAAAAACTACTAAATCTAGTACTTTGTATGACCTACATGATTTGTAAGGACAGCACCAAGTCTTCTAGGCATGGAATGAACATATTGGTGACATGCGGCAACATCTATCTTTTTCCATTCTTCAAGAACAATCTCTTCAGAATTCCCAATACATCTTTGATTTGGTTCAGATCAGGACACATACTTGGCCACTGAATCACTTTCACTCTGTTCTTCTTCAGAAATGCAGCAGTGGCCTTAGATGTGTGTTTTTGATCATTATCATGTTGGAAAAGTGCACAACGACCAAGGCCACAGAGTGACAGTAGCATCTTCTATTTCAATATAGAGCAGTACATCTGTGAATTCATGATATCATCAATGAAATGCAGCTCCCCCGACACCAGCAGCACTCATGCAGCCCCACAGAAGGACACAGCCACCATCATGTGTTACTGTAGGCAACAGGCATTTTTCTTTGTACTCCTCACCTTTGCGACGCCATACAGTTTTGAAGCCATCGGTTCAAAAAACATTTATCTTGGTCCCATCACTCCAGAGTACAGAGTCCCAGTAGTCTTCTTCTTTTTCTGCATGGGCCCTGGCAAATTCTAGGTGGGCTTTTTTTTGTGCATGGGCTTTAGGAGAGGCTTGCTTCATGGACGGCACCCATGCATGCCATTCCTCTGCAGTGTACGCCGTATTGTATCACAGGAAACAATCACCCCAGTTTGGCTTTCTACTTCTTTAGCTAACAGCAGTGAACTTGCAAGGCAATTTTCTTCAACCCTTCTCATCAGAAGATGCTGCTGTCGAGGTGTTAACTTCTGTGGATGTCCTGGACATCTCTGTGACATGGTTGCAGTTCCATCTTTGTTAATTTTTGTATCACTTTTGTTACAGTATTCTGACTGATAAGTAAAGCTTTGCTAATCTTCTTGTAGCCTTCACCTTTCTTGTGTAGACAAATTATGTTCTTTCTCAGGCCTCATGTTTCGGTCCATCTGACACCGCCAAGTTGCACCTCAGACTGCAGTCAATTACAGCCTGAAGTCTGGAATGCATAGACATCACCAGACGCTGGGTTTCATCCCTGGTGATGCTCTGCCAGGCCTCTACTACAACTGTCTTCAGTTCCTGCTTGTTCTTTGGGCATTTTCCCTTCAGTTTGTCTTCAGCAAGTGAAATGCATGCTCAATCGGATTCAGGTCAGGTGATTGACTTGGCCATTGCATAACATTCCACTTTTTTCCCTTAAAAAACTCTTTGGTTGCTTTTGCAGTATGCTTTGGGTCATTGTCCATCTGCACTGTGTGAAGCAGCATCCAATGAGTTCTGAAGCATTTGGCTGAATATGAGCAGATAATATTGCCCAAAACACTTCAGAGTTCATCCTGCTGCTTTTGTCAGCAGTCACATCATCAATAAATACAAGAGAACCAGTTCCATTGGCAGCCACACATGCCCACGCCATGCCACTACCACCACCATGCTTCACTGATGAGGTGGTATGCTTAGGATCATGAGCAGTTCCTTTCCTTCTCCATACTCTTCTCTTCCCATCGCTCTGGTACAAGCTGATCTTGGCCTCATCTGTCCATAGGATGTTGTTCCAGAACGTGAAGGCTTTTTTAGATGTCGTTTGGCAAACTCTAATCTGGCCTTCCTGTTTTTGAGGCTCACCAATGGTTTACATCTTGTGGTGAACCCTCTGTATTTACTCTGGTGAAGTCTTCTCTTGATTGTTGACTTTGACACACATACACCTACCTTCTGGAGAGTGTTCTTGATCTGGCCAACTGTTGTGAAGGGTGTTTTCTTCACCAGGGAAAGAATTCTTTAGTCATCCACCACAGTTGTTTTCCGTGGTCTTCTGGGTCTTTTGGTGTTGGTGAGCTCACCGGTGCGTTCCTTCTTTTTAAGAATGTTCCAAACAGTTGTTTTGGCCACACCTAATGTTTTTGCTGTCTCTTTGAGGGGTTTGTTTTGTTTTTTCAGCCTAATGATGGCTTGCTTCACTGATAGTGACAGCTCTTTGGATCTCATTATTATTTATTATTATTATTATTATTATACAGTATTTATAAAGCGCCAATAGTTCACTCAGCGCTGTACATTACAAAAGGGGACAGAACATGTGACAGAACAATACCAATACAATGCAAAACATGAGGGGATTGAGGGCCCTGCTCTTTCGAGCTTACAATCTAGGAGGGAGGGGAATGTCATCTTGAGAGTTGACAGCAACAGATTCCAAATGCAAATAGCACACTTGAAATGAACTCTGGACCTTTTATCTGCTCATTGTAATTGGGATAATGAGCGAGTAACACACATCTGGCCATGGAACAGCTGAGAAGCCAATTGTCCCATTACCCAGCGTCTGGTGATGTCTATGCGTTCCAGACTTCAGGCTGCAATTGACTGCAAAGGATTTGCAACCAAGTATTAAAAAGTGAAAGTTTGATTTATGATTATTCTGTCCCATTACTTTTGGTCCCTTAACAAGTGGGAGGCACATATGCAAACTGTTGTAATTCCTACACTGTTCACCTGATTTGGATGTAAATACCCTCAAATTTAAGCTGACAGCCTGCAGTTAAAGAAAATCTTGTTTGTTTCATTTCAAATCCATTGTGGTGGTTGTAGCAAACTTGCTCATCAGAGTTGGATGCGGAGTTCCCCTTTTTTTATTAGAGTATGCCTCAATCCTTTATTCTCCTCCCCCCTCCCTTCCTGAGAGGCACAGGGACAGATGTGTAAGTGTTAAAAGTTGCTGGCAGGCTGGAGCAGTAGGGGGCCCAGCGCTACAAAACCCCCAATGGAGGCAGAGCCTCTCAGTCTAAGAACTTGTATAGGCTCACACATCCTAAAACAGATAAGGCAGCTTCTCCCAGGCATTGAAAGAGATTGTAACCTCATAAAACTTAACAGTTAAAGGTGACAGAATGAAATGAACATTGCTCAAGTCAGGTGTCAGACACCGCCTGGCAGTACCTCTAGCACTCCACAGAACAGGATTCCCCAGAGCGCGGAATCTAAGCCCCAGTCTGCTGTTCACCAGGGCCCCTGCTGGTGGGGATGGACTTGGAGCAGACGGAGACCAGGTCGCGGCCCGAGTACACCCACCTGTGGTAGAGGGATCCGCCAGAAGTGTGTACAGGTGGAGAGCCTGACGTGAAGAGGCGGATGGGCCTGAGCAGTGGTGACCGGATCCGTGCAGGGCGGATGGATAGCAGGGCAATAAGCGTGGTCAGACAGGCCGGTTCGGTAACAGTGGGATCAGCGTAGTACAAGGCAGCAGACAAAGAATAGTCAAGTCACTCGCCGGGTTCGGTAACAGGAGTTCAGATCAGTATAATTGTCCAGAAGAGTAGTCAAACGAGCCAGGGGTCAGAGCAGGAGAAGTCAGCAAAGTCAGGATCCAGCAGGGTCAGCAACGAATCAATCAGCAGGAAACACACTAGCAGGAACAGGGTAAGAAGACCATAAGGCAACTTGTGTCTGTGCAGGGCTGGTTTAAATAGCCCGCCCGGCACTGACAGGTGCGCCTGGGTCCTAGTGCCTGCCCAGCGCGGTCATAGGTGACAGGCGCGCCTGGATCCTAGTGCCCGCCTACCTGCATGTCTTGTGGGACACCTACGCATGTGCAGACTCATGCGTCGCGGTGATCCCTGACATTGCCCCCCCCTACGGGCAGCCTCTGGCTGCCCAACCGATCTCTCCTCTGTGGGTGGCTGTGAAAAAACTCTTGGGCAAGTCTAGGGGCGTGAACGTTTTGGGCTGGTTCCCACAAATTCTCCTCAGGGCCATAACCCTTCCACTTAATCAGGAACTGTGTCTGGCCGTCCCTCTTCCTGCAATCTATGATCGCTTCAACCTCAAATTCCTCTTGTTCATTAATGATTACTGCCTCTGGAGGTCTGGACCTTCGATCAGGGAAAGGATCTGGCACTGCTGGTTTTAGCAGTGAAACATGGAAGACTGGGTGAGTCTTAAAGGTTTCCGGAAGTGTAAGTTCATACGCTACCTCGGTGATCTTCCGTTTCACCCGGAATGGACCCATAAACTTTGGCCCCAGTTTTTTCGATGGACAAGACATCTTCAAATTCGTTGTCGCTAGCCAGACTTGATCACCAGGTTGCAAGACTAGTTCACCTCTTCTCTTCCTGTCGAAGGCCCTTTTGCTGTCCTCCTGGGCTTTTGCAATGGCTTCTTGAAGCACCTTGTTGTTGGCAGAAAAAAAATTCAGCATGTTCTGAGTAGCAGGAACTGGGCTTTCGGGAATCAGATCGGGTAAAAATGTGGGGTGGAACCCATAGTTTGCAAAAAATGGGGATTGCACCGTAGCCGAATGATTTGCGTTATTATACGCAAATTCGGCTAATGGCAAGAGTGCCAGCCAATCGTCCTGGAGAAAGGACGTATAACATCTCAGGTATTGCTCCAACATCTGGTTCGTCCTTTCCGTCTGCCCATTTGTCTGTGGGTGGTAGGCGGATGAGATAGACAATCTGATTCCCAAAACCTCGCACAACGTTTTCCAGAACTTCGATGTGAACTGAACCCCCCGGTCTGAAACAATGTCTTCTGGAATTCCATGAAGTCTTACCACTTCTCTTACAAAGATTCGTGCTGTTTCCAGAGCCGAGGGCGTGTTCCTTAGTGGCAGGAAATGGGCCATCTTCGGCAGGCGGTCAACAATTACGAAGATTGCTGAATGGTCTTGAGATGGAGGAAGCTCGACTATGAAATCAATCGAGATCATTTGCCATGGCCGATCAGGTATAGGCAGTGGACTTAGTAAACCCCAGGTCTTGCTTCTGGTGGGCTTGTTCCTTTGACAGGTAGCGCAGGTCTTAACGTAAAGCTCGCAATCCTTAGCCATGTTTGGCCACCAGAATGTGCGCTGGAGTAATTCTAGAGTCTTTGCCATTCCGAAATGACCTGCCAGTGGATGGTCATGGCATTGTCCCACGACTAAGGTTCGGACCTCCTCAGGTACCGCGATTAGCCCTTCTTTCCACAAGAGACCCTCCTTGCTCTGTAGGGAAACCCCAGGTGGGCTTGGCATTCCTACGGATGCGCTCTGTAGCTTAGAGCGTAGCTTGGTTTGGAGGGCAAGAAAGTTCCCAGAGGATAAGATAGTGTCTGGCCTGGGGACCTCTTCTGGGTCTTCAAACATGCGCGAGAGGGCGTCGGGTTTTGTATTCTGGGACCCAGGCCTATACGTGATATGGAATACAAACCGGGAGAAAAAGAGTGCCCATCTCGCTTGGCATGGTCTCAGGCGCTTGGCCATCCTCAAGTATTCCAGGTTTTTGTGGTCTGTGAAGATCAAAATTGGATGCGTGGCCCCTTCCAGCAAGTATCTCCATTCCTCCAGTGCGGCCTTGATGGCCAAAAGTTCTCGGTCCTCAATGTCATAATTTCTTTCCACGGGCGTAAATTTCCTTGAAAAGAATGCCACTGGGTGCATGAGCTCTTTGGTGCCTTTTCTCTGGGACAGGATGGCCCCCAATGCGTTTTCCGAAGCATCGACTTCCAAAACATATGGCAGGGAGGAATCTGGGTGACTAAGAATAGGTGCTGTGGTAAATAGTCCCTTCAAGGTCTCAAACGCTGTTTGAGCCTCGGGTGTCCATCTGAAACGGACCCCCTGTTTGGTGAGCTGGGTAATGGGGGACACAAGACCCGAGAAGTTCCTGATGAACTTCCTATAAAAGTTTGCAAAGCCAATGAAGCGTTGCACGCCCTTCTTGTCCGCGGGTACTGGCCAATCCAAGATTGCCGAGACCTTCTGCAGATCCATCGCAACCCCTGTGGTGG